TCATCAAAATCGGTCCAGGCGTTTGGTCTCTAGTGTGCCACAAAGGAACAAACATACATATATAGACTGTTAAACACATAACCCTGTCTGCGCGTCGCGCTTCGCGCTCTTGCATTGCGCAGCCGGGTAAAAATATAAGTAGAAAAAAATCCACGCGGACCAGGCAGCAGACGGGACACGAACCCGCACACTTCGCAAACCGGGCGAATGCACTGACCAATTATGCTACCGCGGCCCACACGGACCGGCAGCTTAAGGCTTAATGGCTAGAAGAATTTCGACGCGGTCCGTGAGGGCCGCGGTAGCATAATTGGTCAGTGCATTCGCCCGGATTGCGAAGGGTGCGGGTTCGAGTCCCGTCTGCTGCCTGGTCCGCGTGGAATTTTTTCTAGTTATATTTTCTTTAGATTTAAACATCAAGCAGTTACATGCTTTAAAATAATAGAAATTATAACTATAATTGCTATTTCTTCTTTCAAATGATTAATACTTGTAAAAGTATTCATTTGACATTGTAGGTTACCTACCTATAATGCGAAGAGATAGCGCTGCCTTGCAGCTTAAAAATGGCTAGAGGAATTTCGACGCGGTCCGTGAGGGCCGCGGTAGCATAATTGGTCAGTGCATTCGCCCAGATTGCGAAGGGTGCGGGTTCGAGTCCCGTCTGCTGCCTGGTCCGCGTGGATTTTTTTCTAGTTATATTATCTTTAGATTTAAACATCAAGCAGTTACATGCTTTAAAATAATAGAAATTATAACTAAAATTGCTATTTCTTCTTTCAAATGTTTAATACGTGTAAAAGTATTCATTTGACATGGTGGGTTACTTAGAATGCGAAGAGATGGCGCTGCCTTGCAGCTTAAGGCTTAATGGCTAGAAGAATTTCGACGCGGTCCGTGAGGGCCGCGGTAGCATAATTGGTCAGTGCATTCGCCCGGATTGCGAAGGGTGCGGGTTCGAGTCTTGTCTGCTGCCTGGTCCTGGTATTTCTAGTTATATTTTCTTTAGTTAAAATTTATTTATTTGTCAATTTGATTTGTGTAAACTTCTCCGTTGATTTGTTTTTGTTTGTTTTTTATTGCAATTCAATTAATGTCGTATTTAATTTAACTTTATATGATTTTTTATTAAATACACATTGCTCATAACTGTACTAATTGTTAGTAAAAATTTTGTTGATGTATGTTAATCTAGATTTCATTTATCTAAATGTAATAAAATATTGTTTGTTTCCCAAATAAAAAACAAAATAAAAATAGTAAAAAGAAAATCTGCGAGTCGTGCGTATACTACACAACTACGCACCATGTTCACGGACTAGTATTGTTTTACCTTCAACTCGAACTTTAAAGGTCGGACAATGACCAGTCGCAACACACTTTTTACTTAGCGGCGGGTAAGGGTACAATGCATGCCAGGAACAGACAGCATGTCATTGATATGAAGGATGCACAGCGTCGGGCAGAGTACCGAACCTTGTGAAACTCCAACATTTATAGTCAGCAACAGCCGTCAATAACGACTTTAATGCTCCTGTGGTCCAAGATGACAACTTTGATTGTAAGTGCTTTATGGCAGATCCTGTCAAACGCCTTGTTCTTTTCTTAATTATCCATGCTCACTGCAAAGTCTCACCCTTACTCTTTCGGCTTCAGCTCAACAGTGACTGAGACAAACGAGAACATCACCAGCCGACGAACGTGATGGAAACCACATTACCGGTCGGTAAATAGCTGTTGCTTGACAAGGTACCTCAAAATCAAAAGGCAGGTGTTAGTCACCCCGCTTCATCATCTTAAGTTCAGATTGGTCAGCCTTTTTGGGAAAAGGCTGACCGTGAGCAATTCGTTTATTGCAATGCGATCTTTTAATTTTATGCAATAAGAAGTTGATGATTTATTTAGTACCAGTATTTATAAATAGGTCCTTTGGTATTTACTCTCGTCAAAAATCAATTACTTATATGGTTTTTGGGATGAGGCCACCTTGGTCACCTTGCCCCTCCACATGATTTCCTATCTATCTTCACGCCCAGGTCCGCCTCAAGTATCCCTCGCTGACCGGCATGGCGCTGGCCGTGCCGGCCACCGACGGACCTCGTGACGGTAGCCCCCCCCTTGTAGTTCTGTCTTGCAAAGAGGGGGGCGGCGGAGGGAGCTACACGGGCACGCCCAAGTAGCCCTCCGCAGCGGACGGGGCACGGTACGGTGGGCACTAGGCCGCGTACTCAGCCCCCACGCGCGGGCCTACCCGCGCACGTCTGCGGGGTCCCCGTGATACCCCGGGAGACCCCTGCCGTGGAGCCCCGGCTAGATTGGGAGGCTGCTAGATGCGGAGACGCGGAAGAATCCCTAAACGGGGATCCCGCAACTCCGTGCTAAGCAGCTTAGAGGGTATTCGCAGGACTTTTTTAGCGGATATTATACCGTAAAAATAAAAAATAAAAAAAAAAAAAAAGCGCCCGTAAGAGTTGCGAGGTCCTTGGTGGGCAGCCACTGGGGGGTTCGTAAGACTTGCGGGAGCCAGGTGTGAGTATTGCGTATTAAAAAAAAAAAGGTCCGCCTCAAGTAAACGGAATGAAAAATAGAGTTTATTTAGCGTGTGAAATTATTAAAAAAGAAAGTTCAGAGACCGTAGGAAAATCACGTAAGTGACTTACTCGAATAAGACACGAGAACCCTCTTTTTTGAAATTGGTTATTTGTTTGTCGCCGCAAACTCCGACAGCTTGCAGTTACTTATCTTCTCTTTTACACGTCAACGTTAGGTATTAAATTAAACGTCAGAGTTAGGTATTTTCACTTGTCCAGTACAATTTTTAAAGGGCCATAACTTAGCTCAGATATTAGTAACGGCAAAACTTATTGCACGCCTCGCAACGCGTAAGCGTGTGAAAGAAAGAAACAAATTTTGATTTTAGAAAAGCGTGTGGGAGTGTTTTTCTTTCGATAGGCCGCTATGTGACGATTTTACAATATAAAATTGCTGTTATCTCCCAAGTTAGTAGTATTTCTCCAAAGTAGGTAGTTATTTTCCATTTTTTTTATATTTTTCTTAGGTTAAGGTAGTGCTACGAACAGGTACAAATGACATCGATGGTCGCGGAGAAAAATGACGCCACTGGTCCACAAAGTTAGCCAATCCCCTTTCTCTGATATGCAACTGAAGTACATATTATTGAATTTAATTTTTCTCTTATATCTATTCATCTGAAAAAATACGGAACATATTTTTTTATTTGGTTCTATTTCGTTTGTAAAACCGTTACCTATTTTATTTAAGCAAAAAAATTCAAGATAACCCCATTGCACCCTATTCATCGAATGTTAGGCGGAATGACATTCGCCGGGTCAGCTATAAATGAAAATTTAATAAAGAAAGGTAAAAGACTGAGAACTGAGGTAGGTAAGAAAAACAACAAATAAGAAAAAGTACTAAATACAAAAGATTAAGAAAAAATTTGGCAAAGAACAAAAAACTACTGATTCTACCTTATCTCCGCATAATCAGCTGACCGACGGCGACGGCGTGACTCACTCTACTGCGCACAGGCCCAATGATCTCCACGCCGATCGGACCCGTGCTATTCGCATCCAGTGGTTTCTCACGACCTTTGAACAAGATCTTTGTCCACATCGCGAGCTAACCCACGTACTGGAAGTCGTCCGGTGCACGGTCACCATTCTAGACTTTCCGCCCTAACAATGATCGGCTTATTACTTGTCCCGCCCACTGCCTTCTTACTTCAGCACAGCAATCCTTCGAGCATTGTCGGTTACTTTAGTTCTCCTGCGGATTTCCTCAATTCTGATCATATCACGCATGGAAAAACCAGCATCGCTCTTTCCATTAAACTCGAACTTAAAATCATTTATTCAGTCTAGGCTGTTACACGCTCTTGTGAACGTCAACTCTGTGCCATTGGTTCGTAAATCTACGGCGGGAGTCCTGAGCAGAACCAGCAAGAAACTCAGCAAGGACTATATTATTCTCCCTGTTTTATTTTTTGCTATTTTATTGCTTGCGATCTACGCCTTCTTTTAGGAGCCGCCGCAGCTAACGACGACCACGTTTCGCTTACAATCGCTGGTAACACAGACTGATTACAAAGTCTTTACTTTTGTCTCAGCTTTTGTCTTGAGAAATTTAAATAATCTGGATGCGAAGATTTTCAATAGTTAACAGAATCACAGATTACTTAATAGTTACTACGGAACGGAATGCTGGCCAGCCGAGATGCATTTGACGGAAGTTTTTTTTTGGTGTTGTAGAGACCAGATCCGAACGCCATAAGAACTGTATTATTGGTGAAACGATAGTATGGTAATCGCCATTGATATTGATGCCACATCCTTTCCACTCAGATCAGAAGCTTTCTTGCTCTGATAGAAAGACAGCGTTCCTGTTTTTTTCTGAAAAGTAATCGTCAAATAATCTTGTATTGATCCATGTATAAACTGTGACCCTAGTACGACCCTGGTGTCATCTTAGTTCTGCCACTAAGCGCCCGTTATTTTAGAAAACAAGCATCCATAATAAAAAAAAATCTCATGTAATAATCAAAACTAAATTATATAGTCGGAGATAAATTATTAAAAAAATATTGGCTGCTCTTCAACCATTTATGTTAATTTTTATGTAAATAATGCTGTATTTGCATGTGACGAAAAACTTCTTTATATATTTATTATTGTGACGCACAATCAATTTAAAATTTTCGTAACAACAAAAACTTAATTAATTACTGTCATTATTAACGATGCATTTCTTAAAATGCAATTTACTCATTTAAGCAAAGCGTAGAAACATATGAACTGAATTCAATTTTGTTACTTTTTAAGTCACAGGAACTATTATTAAATGATTACATTTTCTTCGGTGACAGAAAGTGATTAATGATAATTAATTACGAATTGATATACAATTTTACGTATTAGAAGACTGGATTTATCTGGTATCTACGTGAGAAGCACGTGGCTAGTATTATTTTTAGTATCAATAAGGAAGCCCCGCAAATATGCGCCGTCCTAATAACATAAAGCGCGGTGTGTTTCATACATGGCTGGGTATGATAACAAGATATTGCCCAACATTTTTAGCCAGCCAGAATTGTAGAGAAAACCTATATTGTTGGTTACAATCGTCTTTAACACTCGATTCGTTTTGCGTAAGATTGTTATAGGTCACACGTAAGAATAAGAACCGGCTCCAGTTCGCCGTTCGTTTTCCAAGTAAACGGCCGTATTTCTTCCGCGTTTTGTGTCAAAGTAAACAATACACTTTTCTCGATTGAAAAGAAAAATAAAAGTAAATAGTGTAATGGAACGCGTAAACGGCGATACCCAGCCGACGAAAAGTGAAAATACGCTGGGGAGCTTCAATAATGGTAACTCTAAAGTGGTGGCCAACGTGAAGAAGTCTAGGAGTTTCATGGAACTGTCGATCAGCTGTGGTGCAACAGTGAAAAGTTTGGGGAGAAATGAGAGGAGGGTGCTGGTAATATACACTGGTGGTACTATAGGAATGGTGAAGAACAGAGAAGGAGGTTAGTCTGAATGTCTGTAATACAGTACCTTTAGTACGAGTTTGAGTTCACGAAAACTATCATAGTTTTCGTAATTGTAAATTATGTTTCTATGTCCATTTTGGTGAAAAGTAACCAAATATACTAAAAGTTTAAGAAGACGCAAATGATTTATTTGTAGAATTTAAACACTGTTGATTTGTATTGAAACGAAAACAATAAAATCAGTACCCTTAGTACGAGTGCGAGCTCACGAAATCTATCATAGTTTTCGTAATTGTAAAACTCGTACTATGGGTACTGGTTTTATTTTACTTTGGGTAGCATTTACACTGATCAACAGGGTTTTTCATGATAGGAAATAATATTTTCATAAGAGGGAAATAACGGTTTTATTGCTCTTTGACGGAGATGCGCAGAAAGTTCATAAAAATGCGTGGCTACTAGATTTTAGCACAGTTCTGTGATAACGTGACAATTAGATTATGCACGCGATGTGTATATTGTACGTCATAATAGACCGGCTACGGTTTTATTATCGCTAAAAGGCTCTCCGTAAGAAGATTAAATATAGGAACATTGTGCAGAAAAGTCGAAAACACACACATTTAGATAATTGATTTTCTTTGATTATTTGTTTGGCATTCTGTGTTTCGACTTTTATTACCTTTTCTAAAAAAAATTGCCGATAATTCCAATTCGTAATCGCTTAATTTTCGACTCTTAGAAAAGATTTTTTGTTGTTATTTAATTGTTGTAGATAGTGTAGATACACAAATATTTGTAGGTATTATAATAAGTTCATGACACAAAAAAATAAGTCAATATCATTAAGTTAAATAAAAAAAACTACATTCATAGAGTTTGTTTCAAAACTCGCTAAGGCTAAAAAACCGATTGGAGTAGCTGTGTTTTGACGAACGAGATAATCGAGAATCTGAGAACTAGAAATACTGAACTTCAAAAATTCATTGAATATGGTAATAAATTTTTATTTACTATAATTGCTATTTCTTCCTTCAAATGTTTATTACTTGTAAAGGTATTCATTTGACATTGTGGGTTACCGTCGTAACCGACAATGCGAAGAGATGACGCTGCCTTGCAGCTTAAGAAACATTAACGGTCAGTGCATTCGCCCGGATAGCGAAGGGTGCGGGTTCGAGACCCGTCTGCTGCCTGGTCCGCGTGGAATTTTTCTAGTACAATTTTCTTAAGGTAATAAATAGTTCTTATTGGTATACCTACCTACACTATTCATTTAAGAATATTAGTAACTAGGTAATAGCGAGATTCTTTGCCCAAGGGTAAGCCTGACCATACCTAGACAGTTCAGTGTTATATCAAAATAAATGTGATAGATTTTTTTATAAAGATTACATTAAAATTTCCGGTAGCTAATTTATAGGCAATGTTTTTATTTACATTTGCTCTTAAAAACGTTTACAAACGGGCTATTATTATGTTCCATATAAAATTTATGTGTTTTACTGTATGTAATACTATCATAAGTATACTAGCAAACCAGTGAACCAAATGTTCACCAAAACCTGATTAAAAAAAAATGTATTTAATTAATTGAGAACTTCGGAGATTTTGTGTAGTTTCGTTTGAAATTCGTGATTTCTCGAAAACCGGAAGTGCTACGTTACTCAAATCCGGTTTGTAGTCTTATCAGACTATTCTTAACTTATAACTTAAACATTCTCTTTATCTATCTCTTACGGTTTGGCCGCTGAAACAGCACCACAGACAGACGGACGGACGGACGGACTTTTCTAATAGATAAGAGATCAGTAGCGATACGAGCACTATGAAAATGGATTTTATTACTTCGTGTGATAAAGTCGCCATCAATGGTTCTAATTCCTATATGATTTTCAACCTAAAACTAAGTCTTGACAATAGTTTTATACTTTTCATGCTGTATAGAGATGATAAGAGAAACTGTTGGCAGATTTCGTTTTAAGTTCAGAGTATCATGCCAGAATAAGAGCCAATGTCAAATTGAATCCATCTTGTTTTTGTCTGGGAAATGCTTTACGCATCCTTCAACCATCGGGGGAGCGAGGAGAAGGTATGTGGGGCTCCTCCCTGCTTATTTCAGCCAGACCTTGGGCCGGATGAAATGAGCAGGGCCCTACCTAATGCCCTGAACAGGGCGACTAAAAACTAGCCAATATCCCTGCACCGTGTCACCCGACCCGCATTGCTAGGACCGCGGTCCTCAAAATACGCGTCGGGAGTGCAGCCCCTCTAGCATGACCACCGAAACGGGATATGATAAAGCGATATATTGACATTAACTGTCAGACTACTGTCAAACTCCAAAGTAGTCTGGCAGTTAATGCCGATAATCGCTTTATCATATCCCGTTTCGGTGGTCATGCTAGAGGGGCAGGTGGTGGTGTGGCACCGTTTCCACTGTCCGTGGGTGCACGTGCAAGGTGATTAGACGGAAAAAACGGACGTCAGTTTTCTGACGTCCGTTTCTTTTTCCCCTTCTGGGGGTTCTTCTTCTTTTTGCCCTTTCCGGGCTGCCCAAAAGTTTGCACCGTAGGCGGAGGTGCTGATGCGACCGCAGTCGCGGGCATATGGGGCGTCTTCTTCCCACGGCGGACAACAGCGCTCTATGCTGTCTCGGACTGCGCCTCGCTCCGATTTGAGGAGCCTCTTTTCAAGTGAAGACAATTGAGCGCCGACCATCTCGCTCATGGTTGCTATAAGCGAGCCTTTCAGCTACTCAATGTCTTCATTTGTCAATCTGGGTTTCGGTGCCAAGTTGAATCCACCTAAGTAGTCGGGATGGTACTTATCACAAAGCGTTTGTTTATAGTATGCTTTCGTTATCTTAGTATGCCCCAAGGCACTTTATCATACTATAAATTCTTTAAAGACATCATTTAGTGAGTATTTTGTTAGGGATATTTTACGTATACAAATTAGAAGACAAAATGATTAATTTTTCAGATATCATTTACCTATTCGAAGACGGTCAGATCAGGGATAGTCCGGGTTCTATATCAAGAGATTTTTTTTTGTAATAGTAATTACCTCTATTATTAAGACGTATTTTGTTTAAATTATTTCGAATCTATAAATTTTCCAATGTAGATCGTAAAAAGCCTTTTATCAACAGACCTGCTATTATTGAAATGTGGCTAATTGGTTGTGGGTCTATGGTATTTAAATACAACTTTGAAGTCAAGTGCATTTTCAATTATCTGCCAGGCTACCTGCTTAAGGAAAAGCTATATTATTATGGTATATATATACGAACGTGATAATTATGCACCTACTTGCGTAGTGTTTTTAAAATACTCTCCTACGTTGGAGTCGGAGCGAGCGACAGAAAAACGTAGCGTGTCGCCAAATTTTCTGTAATTTCCGGCGAATAGGTGTAGATTAGCTACATAGGTTTACTTATAGGTTTTTAATATTTTCATAATATTGCCATCTGTATTGTGACAGTGTAAAACATTACGAATATGTTTAAGGTATATTAATAAATAAACAACAGAAACCCGATAAAATAAGGGTAACTAATGGTTTGTAAAACTGTGGTACCGATGTGTATGCGGAGCGCATAGCTTATTCTACACGAATTGTAGCGCCAATCTGAGGAAGTAGCCTTCGTCTTACAGAGAAAACTTAGTGAAATACCACTACATTTTGGTAGTGTTGTGTATGTTCCAAGGCTATATAGTACGGTATAGGGAAAGGGGTCAGGGTAGGTAGGCAGGCATAGGCAATGCGCGAGTAATGCTCTGGTATCGCAACCGTTTCTCTATAAGCTTTGATGGTTGTTTCTATGTTTTGTGGGCGACATTAAAACGAACTAAAGTTAACAAGGTAATTAATTCATACAGTTAGTTCGTGCATTGAGAGACTCAAGGGATAAGGGGAAAGAAAAGAGCGTTTGTTTGGATCACAATTGCGGTGGATCATCTATTTCAGCTTTTTATTCAATTAAAGAGGAACTCGATGGCGCAGGTGGTTAGAGCGTTCGGCTGCGATCAATGAAGTTAAGCATCTTTTGCAGTGGTCGGTCAGTGGATGGGTGACCAAAAATCTTTTATCTCGAGTTCCTCCGTGCTTCGGAAGGCACGTTAAGCTGTTGGTCCTGGCTGCATCTGCAGTCGTTAACACCCACCAATCCGCACTGGGCCCGCATGGTGGGTCATGGTCCAATCTTCGTATTCCATCCATTGGGAAGGCTTGTGCCACAGCAATGGGGACTTTAATAGGCTGACGATGATGATGATAATTCAATTAAAACTGTGTCTAGCAAAACAATATTTTACACAGCGGCCCTAAGACTTTCTTTTTTTTTGCCTTTTGTATAATGTTTTGTTTTGTAAAGTACCTACTTCGTGGTGTCCTTAAGTTTGTTTTTTTCTGTTTTTGTCTGGATTCTAACGAAATAGTTACGAACCAGTTGTTGGCTCCTGTTGCGATATGATATTGTTGTGCCTCAGTTCTTCAATCCCTAAAGAAGAATCAAAGCACGTCAAGGTTAATACTAGAAATATAGTGAAACTACAGTGGAATAAGGGACACAGTGGATAACTTGGTAACGATGCAGCCGATGAAATTGCGAGGAGAGGTTCAAATACAAAGGTTATTAGACCTGAACCCATTTCTTGCAATCAGCTGAGAAAATGGTTAAGGGATTACTGGTTAGAATGGTGGACCTCGACACTAGTGTGTAGGCAATCCAAAGAGGCTATACCATCCCTAGACACAAAGCTAACCGCTTTCTGCACCTGGACAGGAACAGCTTGAGACTGCTGATGGGGACCATCTCACTGGACACTGCTCACTGAACAAACACTTTCATACTCTAGGTATCACTGATATTCCCCTATGTAGAGCATGCATAGAGGCCTAAGAAACGGTGGCTCATGTGCTCAGATCCGCAGCGAGACTCGGTACATCGGAATCCTTCGCGGATGCCCTTAAAAGACTGGGAAGACTGATCTGTTTCTGGAGGGAGGTGGACTGGTTGGAAAAATCGGCCGGTATGGCTCACGGACAATGGTCCACTTAAGGATTGAGTGCGAAAACCATATCCTGTAACATAGAACATAAGGGGGGGCAACGTTGCACCTTGTGAAGTACTCCCACCATACCCGAGATCTTTATATAGGGTCGAATGTCTGGGGCAGTGACAAAAAAACTAAATCAACAAACGGCCATGGCATTGATCGCGTCCAAATAGTCAGTCTTCTGAATATGAGCTACTAGAAGGTTCATAAATCCCATAGTCCCTTACTAATTTATAGTGTACTAGCGGCCGCCCGCGACTTGGTTCGCGTAAACTTTAGTTTTTTCAGAATCCCACAGTAACCTGTAATTTTTCCGGGATATAAAGTATCCTATGTCTCAACCATGAACTATATGCGTACCTTTCATTATATATAATTTTGCGTGATTGAGTAAAAAACATACAAATGATATTAGTAGGATAATTAACATAGTGATACTGCTAAGCACATATTAATTGTTACTTAGTCACTATTTACGATTACGATTGTCATTTGTCGGGCATTAACAGTGTTATTAGTTAGTAATAAAATAAAAATTATTCAAAATTGAATTCCTGTTAGACAAGTGGCATACAACATTGAATTCAATGTACAATTACACAATAATAAATGCTTTGCATGCTTTATTTATTTTTACAACGATTTTTTTGTATCATTTGAATAGGCTCCGAAACCAATGGACAGATTTGATTTAAAAATTCACATGTACTTCAAATTAAGAACTTCCGAACAAGTGCCGTGACGTAAAGTTTAATCAGTCAGCAACCCAAGTTTAGAATGCCATTGTAGGTGAAAAGCTGACTAGCATTTTGTTTTAGAAAGGTATCAAAACACCATAGTAATCGCTACTAATGATAAGCGCGACCATATTCTATAGATAGGGTTGCCAGATGCTTGCTTATCAATTCCGAGACATTTGTATCCCCCCTGAAAAAGTAAAGTATCAAATCCAACCCCCCATCGCCCCCCAGAACTAAAATATCAAGCAGGCCAGCAGTGTCATTTGTTATTAGTTTATTTTGTTACGAAACTAGCACATTATCGGAATCCGGGACAATAAGGTCTAATTACTGGAAACGGGACGAGACGAAAAATTCCAGGACAATCTCGGATTTCCCTGCCATCTGGCAAGCTTGCGCTTGCGATACCATAGAATTACTCGCACGAGGCTACCTATGAAGCGCTGAAAACCACTCATTGATAGAAACACACCACCAGTAGAAGGTAGTGTTGTGTGGCTGCAGAACGAATTGTACCCATTCAAATTTTCATAGCCCCTTTCAATTTAGAATGTCCTCTAGGGGGAGATGATAGAGTCAGGAAACGTGTAAGTTAAAGAAACTAATTCAATCATCTACATAAAGAATACTAGTGGCCCGCCTTCGCTTCGCTTCGGTGTAGAGCTGTAGTGTAGGCTATAGTTTTTGTTCTCAGGCTTGTAATAAACACAATGAATTTTTTTATGTAATTATAAACACTCCATGAAAATGAATATAACTGATAATGCAAATTTTGTTGCGTACTTTAGGACCCGTTATACCGAATGCACCATTTTTTTGGTTGAACTCGCAATATCAGGAAGTAATGGCCCGATTTGAATTTTTTTTTTGTGTTAGATAGTGCATTAATGAGGAAGGCTTAAGGCATAAGACAATATGACATCACGCTGCGATCAGTAGGAGCGGATCCTCGATATAAAATGTTTCAAAACGGGTAAATATATTCCATTTGTGAGTTTTCTTTGCGTGCGCTGCGTAAATGATTAAAGTTACACTCATGTATCGCGGAATTGTTCTCCTCTAAAAGTTCTAGAAAAAAGTTCGCTACAGAGAGTCAAACTTAAAAGATGATCATATGGATCATCTTTTCAGTTTGACTCTCTATAACCTTTTTCTTCAAATTAACGCGGGTAAAACCGCAGGGGACCTTTATTTGTGATATAACTGTAATAGTTAGACATTATGACATCGCTGACTTTTTGTAGATATTGATATCTTTATATATATAATTCTTCTGTGAGTGTGTATGTCACTGAACTTCTCTTAAACGACTGGACCGATTTTGATGAAATTTTTTGTGTGTGTTCAAGGGGATCTGAGAATGGTTTAGATTCACAATTTTGTCCGCTGCACAATGTTTTTTTAATTAATTTTTAATTTATTAGTAGTTGTTGATTTTGAAATGTTTTACATTGGATCCGACAGACGGCGCTACCATACTAGACAGGACAACGTCTGTCGGGTCCGCTAGTACTCTATAAAACTTTAGTAGGTACATCACTTTGCTCTACTGTCAATGACTTCCGCAGCGTAAGCGATATAAGGTTATTTTTTGGTATATTTTCACACTCTGGGTTACGTTATCGAAGTTTTCACACGAAAACCAAACTTTTTTTTAATTACTTTATAGCCTATATTCGTCGGGGATAATGTAGAATTTTAACGTGAAAGAATTTTTCAAACCGGTTTCGGAGCCTATTCAATACAAACAAACAAATAAACAATCAAATCTTTCCTCTTTTATAAAATTAGTTTAAATAATGGCCACTTAAAATCAGGTCGCGCCTTAAGGTTTAAGGATTATTTGTTTGCCACCAAAGACATTGTTGCCTCCCTTATGATTTTGAATCATGATATGATATTTTCAAACCGTTATTTGGATTGAAAGTTACAGTCTTTTATTACTTTTTCAGTTCTGATCCCGCAAAAGGGAGCGTTCGAGAATCTCATCAGGGGCTACCCACAACTCCACGACACGGCGTTTTGGAGGCAAAGGCTCAGCGAATCTGGCTTCGAGACTTCCTACCTCGTGTTACCCGGTAAGTTTTCTATAAGTATGATCTTGTTTTTTCTTCCCATTTATTTCATAGCAGCTTTGTAATGAGTCCAGAGAAATCTGGGGGGCACGGCAGTGCCCCCGCCAAATCCAGCAAAAACAGCGGCACGGTCGTACCATCCGATCCTTTTCTCGAAAACATAACTTGTAAAAAAACCAAGTCTCGCAACTCAGTTCTACTTCTTCTACCGTCAAATGTTATGAGAAACGCACGAAAACACAATGTATCTCACATATTATATTAAATTAGATTGTTGGGTGCCATTGCCAAGTCTATTTATTTATTTAAAACAAATAAGATTTTTAATATTGATATGGTCACGGTCAGTATAAGATGTTGTTAGGTGAGCTAATTTCGTAATAACTCAAGACAGAAGCTCGTTTAAGTAGGGACTGAATAAAATAACCGACGACTTGGCATACCATGGATATTACAACTTTTGACGGTAGAAGAAGTAGAACTGAGTTGCGAGACTTGGTTTTTTTACAAGTCATGTTTTTGAAGGCATGTTCTTAAACAAAACCTACTAGTTTATCTAAGTATATTTCTTTCTTCATTGTTTAGTGCTAATGAATGCAGTACCCCTAGCACGAACCAATATCGAATGCGAATCGTTTGCGAGGGATGCAATCTCGAATAAAACACTCAATAAAAGACGTCATTCAATGCGCGTACAAAACCCCTTTTTCTTAGCAATCAATTGATTGATGTCGTTCCTCCGTGGCCGAGTGGTTTGTAAGCCGGGTATCAGGGTGTCGCCCACTCGAGAGTTGAAATCCCGGTGGGGGCTGATGTTTGGGTGATGAATACGAGCATTTGTACTCCAGTCATGGATGTTTAATATGTATTTCTATATAAATATACTTATATATGTACAGTATATGTATTCCATCCGTTACCCTAGTATCCCATAACACAAGCCGTGCAGTGCTTAATTTGGGGCTAGGCTAATTGGTGTGAGTGTTGGGCACATTTATTTATATTTAATTAAAAGGAGAATGACACAGCGACTATTTCTCTCGAATTGAACGACCATGGAAAGGACAAAACTGTAACTGTGATCACAGTATCTCGTGATTGAAATATTGTTTTACGTATGATAGTTATGATGTGTGATCAACACACCTTTTAATTTTTGATGTCATCTTTCAATTGACGACACTGTATGAAACAAAACAGGGAGCAAAAAATAGCCCTTGCTGAGTTTCTTGCCGGTTCTTCTCAGTACAAGGTCTCCCGCCGTAGACTTACGAACCGATGGCGTAGCGTTTGACTTTCACAAGAGCTTGTAACAGCCTAGACTGAATAAATGAGTTTGAGTTTAAAAGTCGAACGAAATAAACAATTTTCGTCTAAGATGTTGGGCTACATACTCTAGTGGCTATGTATCCCAACATCTAATAGAAGATAATTGTTGACTTAAAATAGGCGGTGACGTTTTCGTCTGCTGCCTCATTAGCGTCTCTTATAATATAAGATGCCATATTACGACACAATATGTACACAGCACCACACCTTTTAATTTTTGATGTCATCTTTCAATTGACGACACTGTATGAAACAAAACAGGGAGCAAAAAATAGCCCTTGCTGAGTTTCTTGCCGGTTCTTCTCAGTACAAGGTCTCCCGCCGTAGACTTACGAACCGATGGCGTAGCGTTTGACTTTCACAAGAGCTTGTAACAGCCTAGACTGAATAAATGAGTTTGAGTTTAAAAGTCGAACGAAATAAACAATTTTCGTCTAAGATGTTGGGCTACATACTCTAGTGGCTATGTATCCCAACATCTAATAGAAGATAATTGTTGACTTAAAATAGGCGGTGACGTTTTCGTCTGCTGCCTCATTAGCGTCTCTTATAATATAAGATGCCATATTACGACACAATATGTACACAGCACCAGCGTATGCGTCCATAACATAATGAAAATAGAATAGGTATAGAAGAGTTATGTAACTTTTAGCGAGCAAATGGCAATCCCTCCATATTTATTTATATATATAAAAATCAATTACTGTTCGTTAGCCTCGCTAAAACTCAAGAACGGCTGAACGGATTTATCTTATCTTGGTCTTGAATTGTTCGTCTAGGGAAGGTTTAAAGGGTGAGAATAATTCGAATTCTACACTACAGCTCTACACCGAAGCGAAGCGAGGGCAGGCCACTAATAATTACTAAAAATTTAAATCAAAGGAAAAGTTTACTAGAAAAAAATCTAAGGAAAAGTTTACTAGAAAAAAAAAACCACGCGGACCAGGCAGCGGACGGGACTCGAACCCGCATCCTTCGCTATCCGGGCGAATGCACTGACCATTATGCTACCACGGCCCCATTAGCTGCGTCGAAATTTTCCTAGCCTTTAGCTGCAAGGCAGCGCCATCTCCTCGCATTGTAGGCAACCAACAATGTCAAATGAATACTTTTTCAAGTATTAAACATTTGAAAGAAGAAATAGCAATTATAGTTATGATTTTATAGCTAGTTATATTTTATTTTATTTAATGATTTTACTAAGAATTTGTTCGGACGCCTTTTGGCCGGAAATTAGTTCTACTGTCAAAGTTTCATTATATGTAAGGTTAACAACCACCTTAGAATAAAGACTAGGACAGCATGCGGCAGCATGTGCAATGTTTATTTAAATAATGTAATAAATAGGTAATAATAAATATTGGATAGCTGCACTTCTTCATAAGCAAAATGTGCTTGAAGAAGTATGAAATCTTCTTATTCACGTATTGTTAGAGAAAAAAAAATATTTAATATAATTAAATAAAAAAAAATTCGGGGTTTATTTATTACGGCGAATGCATAGAGCAACATGGCCGACGCGGCCTGGTGATATTGTTTGCTAAAGAAATTGTTCTATGCCACATAGAAAAAAACCATTGTACGCCTTTTTTATATCTAGGTAGGCAAATGTCACCCCACCTGATGTTAAGTGGTAATAAAGTCCAAACGCGAAGATAGCTGATACATCAGCTATAAACTGCTACATAAACCATCTTATCACATTCTATCATACATAACATCGCTACTAGTTTGTCTGCCACTATCTGACTCGTATTACGCCATAAAATAAATAAAATATATCTTAAGAACATAAAACTAGAAAAAATCCACGCGGACCAGGCAGCAGATGGGACTCGAACCCGCACCCTTCGCTATCCGGGCGAATGCACTGACCAATTATGCTACCGCGGCCCTGATGGCCGCGGTATTGTTCTAGCCATTCTTAAGCTGCAAGGCAGCGCCATTTCTTCGCGTTGTAGGTTACCCACAATGTCAAATGAATACTTTTACAAGTATTAAACATTTATACCGCGGCCATCAAGGCCGCGGGAGCATATTTGGTCAGTGCATTCGCCCGGATAGCGAATGGTGCGGGTCCGCGTTAAATTTTTTCTAGTTATTATGTTCTTTAGATTTAAACATCAAGCATTTACATGCTTAAAAAATAAAAAATATATAATATATCTTTATTCAAATAACGTCATACATTGCATAATAATACTAATAATAATCTTAAGTACAAAATAATGGATGCCTGAACTAGGTTACAGTTAAAATTGTACCTGTGTTTCAGGCTTTTATGATCTAAAATAATACATTGAATGATTAATAAATTAACAAATTAATTAAAACAAAACTTAAAGAAATCATTGTATAAATGTTGGTAAATGTAAATCATGGAGTTACGTTCATTTATTTACAAATAAGAAGTAATTCTTCGGTCTGCTCGTATGTCAGGCTGTGCAAATAATTAAATACTACATTTCTACAGTTAAAATAGTTTAATGTATAAACTTAACACTCTATTTAATTTATTATATAAGAAAGGAAAAGTAGAGAATCTATGTGAAATGATGTATTTTGAATCATGTGTAGAGATGTAGACTATATCTTTCCGTCTTTTTTTAGTGATATCAGAGCAAAAAGGTGAAATGGTGTGTTGTTTTAATATGGTGTGCATAATGAAAAGCTGGCGAACAGGTAACACATTACAGTATCTGTAAAGTTGAAGCGTAGGATATAAGAAGGGAAGTGAATTGGCTACTTTTAAAATGCCTCTCTGAGCTCGCTCGAGAGGGATTAAAATAGTTTTGAGAGCTCCACCCCATGAAGTTATACAATATTGAAATAAATTTGTCTGGGACTATCTTTCTACGTGCAAGATCCTATAAGACTTCTTAAACACTTTTCCTTCATCCATCTTCCCCGTTTAATGTTTCCAAAGAAATTACTCATCAAAACATAATCCATACAGTAGTAATTCCTCCCCCCATAGGCACGTTATTTTCGGTCGAGTAGAAGATTTGAAATTAAATGTCATTAAAAGTGCATAATAGATACTTGCACATAATCATCAGCCTATTAATGTCACCACTGCTGGGGCACAGGCCTTCCCTATATTTCGAAATACAAAGGACACGAACCACGTCATAGATTCCAAAGGTGTATGATAGTAAACTATCAAATCAAACACAATACTCGAATGTCCCTGGCCGCAAGCTTCGCCTAGGTAGGATGTAAAAATAGAAAGACCCGGAAACAACCTTTCTGAATTTGACAAGCCTCAGTACACAACTTAGTAGTTCCGATGTGTACATATTCCTTTTGGGTGCGACTATTGATAGAACATAAGCTTTCGCAGAATTAAATTCATTGTTTACTCTAGCGGGTTGAATAGAATATGTTTGTTGTTTTGGCAATAAACATTACATAAATAAACCAAAAACTTGCCAATTACCAAACAATAACTATAATAATAATAACTTTATTTGGAACAAGTGCAATGCACATAAAATTATGAATCGTTAAATCTGCTATAGTTTTACAAACACTGTATTGCAGAATTAACGCCCATTCCCGTTTAATATGAATATATACAGTGTTCCTATCAATGTAAAAATTAAAAATACTATATTACTAGAGAGGCAATTTGTCTTAAAATGAGACAAAAATATTCACAATGCACAATCCATCGAAGGTAATTTGAAAACAAAAAAGTATTTCTGAGTGCATTTTTATCAATATTATAACAAAGCAATACTATGTACCAAAAAAATTAAAAAGGACTAAAATATAACATTTAATTATTATGCTCACTTAATATATTAAACGGGAATGGGCATTGGGCATAGATCTGCATAGGGCACGACAGAGTTCATGAGCGACAAAAAATCTGTAACATGATCGATAAACTGCATTATGAACTCTTTTGATAAGTAGAATTATTGTCTATTTGAAATTATGTTGTGTTTTCATTTATTTTTATAACCTGACAATAAAAGAATATATACCAATAACTATCTAATAATAATATATATATATATATATATTATCTATTGTTATTATTGTTAATTAAAGTTAAAATAAATTATACATGGTATAATAAAACTACGAGTACATTTTTTATATATATAAAGATTATTTAGATATTTACCTTTACCTTTAGATATTACACGTATACGGACGAAGGACTCCTTTGCTATTAAAATTAAGGATTATTAATTTTAAAAGCAAAGGAGTACTTTAAAGCTTCCATATACTTTCTATATTATATTTTCCTATATTTACGTTTATTTATTTAATTTTACAATGCACAGCCCGCTGTTTCTATTCTTATGGTATCGTTTCATTTAGCTAAAGGTTGCCTGGTAGAGATTGCAACTTTAGCAATAAGGCCGCCTTTTGTGTTTGTGTTCTTGTTTTATGTTTATTGATTTTTTTTGTAATAGTGCAATAAAAAGTGTTCATTCATTCATTATATCTATTATATGATTAAATATGGAATGTGTATTTATATAAATTGTCAAATCAAATTATTTTATTTTAAGATGATTATCACGTTAACGAGGAAAAGTCTTTTTTACATTTAAATTAGTTTTAACAATATACAGTTTTTTTTTGGGATAGATAATGTTTCGCTTAATAACAAACAGCACGCTAAGAATAGAATCCATTCCAAAACAGTGGGTTTTTAGCAGTATTTAAAGGATTATCTGGCTTATAATTAATTATTTATAAGTACCTCTGTTTCCGTATATGAAGCCCCTTTAACACAACATCGATCAATAGTTTACATTCCTTAAAAGTGAGTGGATAAATATTTAATATTTTATTTACTTTATTGTATAAACGGGGAGAGGGGTAGTGAAAATGACGTTTTGCGAGCTCCAGCCTACTATATTCTTAGATCTTCGTTTGTTATGGAAATGGTTGGGGTTGCATGGAAGTTGGGCATGTTTGCGAAGTAGGACCAGCATAATAAATAACTGACGCACAGTTAGTACATCAGTGTCCTCATATAATTGAGAAGTTGGATAAAGAATAGGCTGAAAGGTCATAACTTTTAACACATCTCTTTGAGCTCTTTCAAGACGTAATAAAAGCGATTTATTGGCTCCCCCCCATACTGTAACATAGTATGATAATACGGACTGAGCGAGGGCCCAATATACAGTTTTAAGTGTAGAAGCTACAAGTAAATTACATACGGTTTTAATCAAGAAAGAAAATCAATTTTCTAATGCAAGTCATTTCAATGAAAACAATGGAATGTATTAATGTTGTATGATTTCTAGTTAAGAAATGGAATGATCTAAGTAGAAAGGACAAAAGTCAATTCAATTTTGAAGGAAATCATTGTTATCGATTCTGGCATGATTGAATTAATACAATAAGTCATAATCTATACAGAATCATAAAGGAGAGATTGATGTTAAATTAAATTTAAGTATAGAGAATCATGTCCGAATCATCCGCGTTAGAGTTAGTTTGGGACTACAAAAACCATTAGGTTAGGTTAGGTTAGGTTAGGTTAGGTTAACATTTGCCGACGGAGATGAGCCCGCGCAGACTACTGTGCGGGCACCGCCGAGTAGGCCTACGCGAGCCAGCGTCCTGCGCATGCTCGTGGCCCGCTCAATTATGGCGAGGCGAAGTTCCCGGGGAGTTTAGTGGAGTTTCCCGGCTATCTCTTTAGCCGGGTAAGTCCCACACACCCCTGCTCACTAGCCCAGTGGGCGGGGACGGCGCATAAATGCATTCTCCCTGTTAAAAAAAAAGGTTAACATTTGCCGGGATAAAAACTATTTCATGTGTCAAACTAGGTGACAAACTATACTGAACAGGTGTCCCAAAACTTTGCAATATGGAGAGAAAGTATCTTAAATACTCTAGATAGAAAGTTTTGCTGAAGACAGACTTTATTTTTATTTTTAAAACAATACGAACTGCATTCAAAGAATTAAAAAAAAATGGTGTGCCTGAAACGGGATTCGAACCTACTAATAGTGACAAATGTACCTACCCATTGAAAAGCTCACTCATATAGGTACATTTGTTTCTCCTTAGTAACATGGTATATAAACAAAAAAATACTTTTAATTTAGTAGTTAGTAGTGTCGATTCTAGCATGATTCTCTAAACCTAAACTTAAATTTGACAACAGTGTATCCTTGTCGTTCTCTATAGAGAATAAAAAAGAGAGACTGAGGTTAAATTTAGTTTTAAGATTAGAGAATCATGCCAGAATCGACACAACATTATCTTAATTTTACTCATTGGTTACAGAAACCAAAGATTTGGATCTGAGAGTGTTCTACAGAATAATAGAATATGAGAATCTCTTAGACTCTTCCAATATGACTGAACAACAATGGATACAAATAGCTGAAGATATTATGGTATGAAAGTTCCGATAAGAATACGATAAAGATTTTACATTTATATTGATATATTGTTTTAAACTTTCATAGTCACTAACACTATAGTAATGTATGTTTTTCGCAGAGTACCAGTAAATAACATAAATTACTTATTTTGATAATTAAAGTTAAACACTACTGTAATGGCAGTTGTATAGAGAGACAGAATAAGTGTACCTACCGATCGTTTTAGATCAATTCAATCTTAACATCATAAAACAATAAAAAAAACCCTTGTTTGTAACAAAATTTGCATTTAGCAGTACTTATACTGCTAAATGCAAATTTTGTTACAAAGTACTCTGCATCGAGTTTTCTTACTCAGATCATCTTGTTTAACTAGAATGTCGTCCATGATTTATGAACGAACAAAAAGGGATATAGGGACGATACTGTCTGTACCGTTTGCAATTAAAAATATACCATTAATTTCTAGATCATCTGTTTTTATAACACATTTATTTATATTATCTCCTTATTAATGATTTTAAGTAAAATTAACTTTACCTTTTCAGACACATTATGACCAATACGATGGATTCGTGGTTCTTCATGGTACAGATACTTTGTCTTACACAGCATCTGCCTTATCCTTTATGTTTGAGAATATTGGGAAATGCATTGTACTTACTGGATCTCAGGTAAGCAAAGATACATGATTTGGTAAAATTATTCTGTGATTCATTTAAAAAATGTTCATTTTTAAGTAATCACAATAATAATTTCTCTACACAAAACTGGAATTGTTATAATTGCATCGATCTAGTAAAAGTAGGTACCTATGACGATTTGTTTTATCACGAATGATGTTTAACACACATCATACAAAGAAACATCCAAGTCAGATAGTCATGATAAATTGGATGGCGCAGTATTTGTATTAGCCTTAATAAAGGCATTTTGCGTCAAGATTGTGAGAAAGATGAAAAACTAATTGTGTTAGTTTATATGCAAAACAGCATATCCTGTTTATCTCGTGCTATATAAAATTAATCATTTATATATATTATATCCAAAATTACTTAAAAAGAACGAAACCAATTCTTATTAGCAGCAAAATCAAGACCGAGAACATTTATTAATTCTTTATAACAAAACAAAAAACAGTAAACGGGTGACATACTTTCAAAGGCAATCTCTGCCAGCTCAAACAGTAAGAGTGTAGAAGACGAAAGTTATGACGATAGAATGAGAACTACTAAGTTTAGAAAAAAAGATAACTAAGTTCATTACTATTTTATAGATTCCAATATTCGAACCCCGTAGCGATGGTGCTGACAATTTTGTATCATCCCTACTGATCGCCGGTGGACTAAATATACCAGAAGTTACACTTTTCTTCGGGAGCAAATTGTTCAGAGGGAATAGGTAGGTGGACTGTTTTGATAAACTACGGTAGCCAAAGACTAAACTAGATGTGGGAAATTTGTGTTTTAGCCATAATAAATTGCGATTCCTTCCGAGTAATGAAAATTATGGTTTGATGCTAGGAATTAAATAATTTTGAAATTATCGTAACTACTGATAAAAAGAGTAATACTTACTTAAATAATTACTGAATTGTGGAAAATTCAAGGCTTGAATTGATTGCACAAGTTTTATATTACAAAAGCGGCTCGTTTGATGATTGGACACAAAATTTATTACCCAAAGTAGCTTTAAGAAGTACTTAATTTACAAATTCAAGCCTGCATTGGTCTTCAATTATCTTGAAAGATAGGTTATGGTTCATTGGGTATTTATTATTTATTTATTGTAGCGGGGAAGCCCTGTATCCTAGTAGAGTCGAGAGATCGATGAATGAGGAGGATGTCGAGAGGGCATTAATTGATAACCTGTGCAAGGCATTGGAAACAATGACTTTTATACATCAGTATTTTAACGTCGATATCTCCTGATATTCTTTCGTATGTTTATTTCTAGAACACGTAAAGTTTCAGCAAACAATCTGTTCGCTTTCTCGTCGCCTAATTGTGTGCCATTGGTGGAAGTTGGTATGGATTTTGAAGTGAACAAAAAGGCATTATTTAAGCCGAAGAAGATAGAGAAATGCAGACTGCACGCGAAAATGTCTAAGAATGTGGGACTATTGAGGATATTTCCAAGTATCAGTTCGTCGGTGATCAAAGCGTTCTGTCAGCCACCCATTGAAGGTAAGCAAAGAAGAATGTCAGTCTATTTCAACTTAGTAAATTTTTTGTATGTTGTAACTGCGGGATTTATGTTAATATTATTTTATATTAGATATCTAAGTACTTTATCTTCATTATCACATTCATCATTGTTTACTTTTGTCTTTATGGCACTCTCTCTTTCATCTGTTTCAATAATTTATGGAATTTTATTTATGATCATATTTATCACTATTCCTTATATCTGTTTTATTACTTATTATTCTTGCTTACTTAGTTACATTACAAATATAAATTATGAATAATTATTGCATCTAAAATCAAGAACTTATTTAGATACCATTTTGTTTAATATCTTTTATTTTGGTTTTGTCAGGGGTGGTTTTAGAAACCTACGGTGCTGGCAACATTCCCTCGAACAGACAAGACTTATTTGACGAGATCTCAGCGGCGGTACAACGCGGAGTGATCGTAGTTAATATTACTCAATGCACTACCGGGTCAGTGGTGTCGCCACTCTACGAAACTGGAAGGGTGAGATGCTGGGACTCCTTTACATAGTATAAATATAACAATGTCACTCCTGCTGTCTATACGCTTAGATCTTTTTAAATTTTGCAACGCAACGGATTTTAATGCAGTTTTCAGCAATAGATAGAATGATTTAAGAGGAAGGAAGAATTTATATGAAGGAGACCATAATGTATTACGAATGTTTAACAACGAATGTTTAAAAAAGTACAACTTCTATACTTTTCAAAAATTGCGATTAACTGTTTACCCCTCTTTTTTATTGTTGCCGTTTTGGTATGGCTTTCATCTTGTTCCGAATATTTTTCACTTTTTACTATTTACAAATACATACGCCCGTTCTATAAGAGCAACTTCAGCAGGTAAAGTGTAGCTTTCATTACTTTTATTATGTTTTCCCTTTTTTTAACGTATTTTTGTTTTCTTAATATGAAAGATTTTAACGACGTTTTACTTTGTATTTTTGTTACAGCTAATAGCCAAATGCGGTGTGGTGTCGGGATTCGATATGACACCGGAGGCAGCTCTAACGAAGCTCTCATATGTATTGACGAAATCAGAACTGACCTATCAAGAGAAAGTTGAGGTTTGTTTTATGTTCTTTTTACTTTTAGATGTGTAACTACTTGTTATTTAGCAAATAAAAGGGCTTAATATGAAGAGATCAAATTTTTTTTTCATTATGAATTTATTTGTATTAAATAATTATAAGTAAAGATTTTTTGAAATTTATATAACGACTATAGCAGATTAATGCCTATAATAACAATAACTTAATATTAAAATCTAACTATTAAAAATTAGAACATTTCATAGGTACTATTAAGTGTATATATTTTTTGTTGTTTATTATCAGATGATGGGCACGAACATCAGGGGAGAGCTGACGACGACCGCATCTTTTTCTGTAGAGGTAACACTCGTTATACTAACAGCAATTTCTCAATTATGATGATCGATTACTTACATTGCGACAAAACTATTAAACTGAATCACGGACCTAAAAAAAAGACGGACGTAACATCAAAGGCAAATCATGTGAAGCATGCAAGGTCAGACAAAATCGTTTGTTGTACACAACCTACACTCACACTAATGCACCAGGTCGGACAAAATGTTGCCATTTGACCCCGCGTGACAGCGGCAGTCACACATTCAATTGCTCTGATAAAAATAATTAAAAATGCCGTCTTGTGTGGTGAAATCCTGTAAAAACTACACGAATAAATTTAAAAAGTCACAAGGAATTACCTACCATGCGTAAGTATTGACAATTCTTGATATTTATTCCATATTATATTTTATTTACTGGGATGAAAATTGTAAACAAAAATACAACTGTATGGCTACTTTATTTACGGGAAATTTTCCCTAAAAGTAGGAAATTTTGTATTTCTTGCATTTGTGACTCGGTAAGGTCAGATTTCGTAACTTTTTAGGGTTCCTTATCCCAAAAGGAAAAGAATAGAAGCCATATTATTTATAGAATATTTTATATGTTTTATAAAATGGTATGTTCTCGCTGTGAATTCTTTGTTGTTTATGTATATGTAAATATGTAGCAAACTTTTTTGTGTTTAGAAACTGATTGTAACTAATTATTTCTTTGTGTTTTTTTATTGTTAGATTTTAGTTTTGGTTTTTGTAAGTTCTAGTTTGTCATAGATAAATCTTATTTCATTTTTATTTAATTTTTTAATAAATTCATTTCTCTTGTTTTAAGGCTTAAGATACTAAAAGCATTCAGCCTATGTTGTTATTTTTTTTTGTCATGCTGATTGGTATGGTTCTAATCTTCTGTTATATTATTAAATTAAAAATGTCTCGTCAACCCTGCCAGAATTATCAGCGCTGCAACAGCCCTGGTGTTGCTGTAGTATTAAGCTGAAGCAGGGACCTAGTTGGCCTGTATTACTGTGTTCTGTTTTTGTATATCGAATGTTAAGCATGCGACTTTAAGCCTGCATCATAACATTTTAAAAGACATAAATAAATTTAATTAAATTTCTGCTCTGCACTTACCAGTAAATATCCCAGAGGTAATTTAAAATGCTAATTGATACCGTGTATTAAGAATACGAATGCTTCAGAAGCAAGGGTTTGACAGTTTTCTGAAGTTCCTGTCCCCATGTCGACATATCTCTTTTCCTCTCACTCTGTCAGACTTTAAATACCTACTAAATCTATGAATGAAACACTTACATTTAAAAGAAGAAATAATAATATTAGTCTATTATATTTTTATTTTAAGCATTAATCTGCGCGATTTAGGTATATTAATGTGTAATATTAACCAGATAGTTGTGTTTTCATTTTTCTAACGGTCGTCATAAAAATGATGTTTGATAGGCCAACATTATGTTTCTGAAGTGCAACCGTTTAAATTACTGAAATATCGGGAGCTCACATCTAATAAAAACATGGTAAATATCCCGTTATTGTAATAAATACATATTACAATAACGGGATTACCTACATAGTGTTAACAATATTTTAGTTTGAGACATTTAAAAAATAGGGAAATCGATGACTTATATGACCACCCTCAAATCACGCACACACGGTAAAAGGGCGGCCATTTGCATGCTTCACTCGTGATTAGACGAGGTTACGTCCGTCTTTTTTTTAGGTCCGTGAACTGAATATACTTATCTAAACACCAAATTATAGTGTTAAAAGGATAAATATTCCATCGTTTTTTTTATTATTTTAATAGGTTGTGTAATAAAAACTCTTTGCTCATTTGTATCTAGCTGGTTTTGGTATCATTTAAAAGTTTAAAGATAATTCCAAATTCAAATTAGAATAATTTGTGATTTTCATTTGATTTTCTTACTGCCAAGATGAATCAAATGAAGAAATTCGATACATTTTAAAATTTTACTACAAAAAAGGTAAAATTGCAACACAAGCCGCGAAAAAAATTTCGTGATGTTTATGAACCTAGTGCAGTGACTGTGAGAGTAGCACAAATTTGGCTTAATCATTTTCAATCCGGAAATTTTGATGTCAAAGATGCACGTCGCACTGTTCGCCCTGTTACGGATAAAATGAATGCCGTTTTTGAAAAAGTGGATCAAGATCGGCATATCAGTAGTTACAATGAAGCTGACGAACTGGGAATTGTCCACAAAACAGTTATGGCACACTAGTTCGACGATCGAACTATTGAGAATAATTCACAATGTATGCCACAGTTTTGTCCACAGTTTTTAGTATCGAATATCGTTTCCTTTATAACACCGCGTTCTTTCTCCTAGGACAGTACTCTCATAGACGCTTTAGCGAGCAGTTTGAACATCCAATCACCCAAGAAGCTGATAGAAGTGACAGAGAAGGTGTTCAGCGCTCTCCTTCTTTACGCCATCGAGAGGCACGACGAGTTGGCGGTTAAGAAAATGTTAGGTAAGGCAATGCTGACGAGTTGGCGGTCAAGAAAATGTTAGGTAAGGCAATGCTGACGAGTTGGCGGTCAAGAAAATGTTAGGTAAGGCAATGCTGACGAGTTGGTGGTCAAGAAAATGTTAGGTAAGGCAATGCTGACGAGTTGGCGGTCAAGAAAAAGTTAGGTAAGGCAATGCTTTTTTTATTACTCGTTTGTTAATAAAATTATAAATTAGTATAAATATAACATATACTTGATGAGTGAAAGTGGAATGAGCCCATCGGAATCCGAGACCGCGTCGAGATGCAGTCAGGGAGGTCGTTTGGGTGGGAAAGAGAGAACGAGGAGAGGACGGTTCTTTAACAATGAGAGGAGAAAGGAAGAAGAGAAGAAACGAAAGAGATAATAAATAAGAGTGTGTAGGACGAGAGTAAGAAGAGGGTAAGATTTGGAGTTGCATCGGTCAGACCCCATTCCCGACAAGAGACTGAGCAGGGAGCGGACCGGTAAGATAAGCTTATTATTTTAGTCCTTAACTAATATTTTTTTGTTGTCTATACAGATAGCCGCAAGCCGAACCAACAAAAACTATAAAATTATTCAGCTGACTTTGAGATGCTTTATGTCACATAATATATTCATAATATTTTGATAAAATTTTGGCAGCGTGTGACAGCTCGACGTTGGTAAGGCAATGCTTAGATTATGATCACTAACGGGCTGCGCTTACTACTGAAATGAAATTATACTTAATTCAGAGAGAAATCATTCATTTTGATTTTCCGGCGGTTTCAAGTGGATTCCGAAAATGCTTCAATTAATCGAGCCGTTTTTTGTGTTACTAAATCATAAATATAATATCCTGTTTAGTTTTAGTTATATTTATTCATATAACATTTAAATAACATCTAAGTTACTTCTTTTGGGAAAAACTCATCAAGGATCATCAATAGCACAGAACACTGGCATTAATGTCCATATTGACCGTGCTATCAGAGAAGCTAACATTACCACCAGCTTTAATGCTTCTATTGGACAAAACTGGCAATGCATTTGTACAATCTTTCGGACAGTCCATACGATGGCAACTTCCAATGAAAACCTTTGTGCCAAACTCCATAAAGCGCCTTCGTTACATCTAGACTAACAGCCAAAGCCTCACCTTGACTTTCAACGGCATGAGCCCAGTGTGGAAGTCTGTGGTTCAGTGTGTCAGATATACTAAAAGATAACCAGGCGAATGTCGTTGGCGGAAGCTGTAGGTGACGATCGTGAAGTAGACTATATTTCTCTATCTGAGGAGTTGCGTGTTTATTATACGCTCCGTATTAATTTGGCGGGTCACACCCATGCATTTGTAATCGTATCGTCATCGTCAAATTTTGTATGCTAAGAGCCAGTTTGTTCTTACGTCCGGTAGGGGCTGCTTAGTTTTCATAGAAACTTTGACGATACGATACGATTACGGAGCTATCTAAATTCGTGCTTGGGCCTCTGATCTGTCACCCTTTTTGAGTAATTACATAAGCAGTGAGCACATTGTTGTACTTGTAACACACAAGAAGTAGAATTATGAATAACTAGCTGTGCCCCGCGGTGTGACCCGCTGTTTGAGATATTTCTTCCGCAGTAAAACGTAGCCTACGTGTTAATCCAGAGTGTCAGCTAACTCCATACCAAATTTTATTAAAATCCCTCCTGCTGGTTAGATGTGAAGAAGTAACAAACATACACGCTCACACACGCACAAACTTTCGCCTATATAATATTAGTGTGATGAACGTTAAGAAAGAGTAATTCACGACCACATGTTGTGGAATGGTTATTTTAGCCAAAGAGAGTCACACCAAGGAATTTTTGACGGTGTAATTTCTCTGTTGTCTAAAGTTGAAGATGAGGCGAGGAGATTACTCAAGAGACCGGCTTGGTCTTTCACACTGTAGGCCGTTTCCATTGGGCATACTTAGTATAAGTCGCGGCACGAAAATCTAGCGCTGACCGTTATTGCGCAGAAGTAAAAATTAAGATGTCTTGGAGGGAAACGAGGTGCGCGGGCGGGCGTGCGTTGCGCCGATTGGCTCTCCAGTCGAACCCATGTGCAGCTATCGCCTCCGCGCTTTGTTCAGCACTAGAGGTACGTGCCGCGACCTGTACTGGGAAAGCCGACTGACAAAATTTGCATTATTTAGGGGCATTTTTCAAGTCTGTTGCTCTACTTCCGATAAATAGCTGTACAGTCCCCGTAGCATGAGCACCACAATTTACATTATATCACGTTTTTATCGCGTACAACTTAATTAACAACTCATAATCTTAAAGTTAAAGAATCATTAAGAGATAAGTTTAAAGAATTTGGAATAATGACGGTCGCATCACAACACATATACGAAAATTTATTACTTGTAAGAAAAAATATTAATTTGTTTCTTAAAAACAGTGATGTTCACACAATTAATACAAGAAACAAAAATAAACTAACTTTACCTGCTACTAGGCTTCACAAAATTAATAATTCATTTAAAGGTCTTTGTGTTCGCTTATACAATAAAGTCCCAAGCAATATCCAAGAGTTAGCCATAAATAAATTTAAAGATATTATAAAAAAAACACTTATTAAAAAAGCTTATTACAAAGTGTCTGATTATATTACAGACAAAAATGCTTGGGTTTGAACTGTTCCAATCATTCCAACAGGTTTTCTATATTAAATAAATCATAATTGTATTGACGTTGTAACAACATAATGATTTGTAAATGTTGTTACATTGGACTTTTAATGTTGTGGAGTTTTTTTCGCTCGTTTTTCTCCGCAGCTAAAAAATATGTCCATAACGAGTGCTAGGGAAAAAAAATTTTTGGACGATTCAAAAGAGTTGTACTATACATCCAATTTGAATAAAGATATATTGATTTCTGATTTCAACAGTCAAACTTAATAGTAATTTTACAATTGAGCGTGATAAAAACGCGTTATATATCATATCGCGGTGCTCATGCTTTTGCAGCAGGGGACTTTTTACGATATGTTGTGGTAAAAGACGTATGTACTTACCTACGAGTACTAATGATCATTAAACAAGCATCTTTTTAAAAACAATAATTTACATAATTGAACGCGATCGTTTCAAGGTTGAACTGATTAAATGCTATTTTTTATTTTTAGCAATATGTCATTCATTATTTATTAAACAATTCGCGTCAATGATCTTAAATTGCCGTTCCCATTTCGGGTCAGTAGAGGTGATAATCAATTTATTTGAGAGAAATCATCATTGTACTAAACACTTAGATTGCAAAATTTCTTCGTTTATAGATTTAGATTTTTTTATTTAGATGTTTATATATGATTGATTTTTACAATGTTTATCCTTAGACATATGTATGTACCTATAGCATATTCACTTTTAACATTCGGTGGTAATTATTAGTATACTGAACTAAATACTACGAATTCGCACCCTTTTTCATTGTTATCACAATATCGATTAAATTTACTAGCAATAACAGTAAGAAATTCATAAGAAATCATAACTTATTGCAAAGATTTCCAGTTATTACAACTTAACTGAGTTGATACGACCTGTAACACTAATAAATGCGGGTCAAAACCAATGATAGTCGCTAATATTATCATCATAACAAATAAGCTACGTAATATAATTGCCTTGTTTCCCAATGTCGTTGATTGAATCGTAGATTCGGTCAATTGGGATCAAACAGAGCTATCAACATTCATCTCTATAATGTTGTAATAAAGAAAGGCGTATAGCCTCATATAATAATAAAATTAGGTATGTACCATACATGGGTCAGATAGTGGTCTGAAAGTAAAAGAAAACATGGGAGCTCCACTCTAACTGCAACATTAAACGTAAAGATAGCAAAAGCAGATAAAGTTTTTACGTTTTTTCTTATCAGCAAACAAAGGCTTCCTGGTTGGACGGTAGGAGAAAAATATTGGATGAGAAGAGTTTTAAACAATTTGAATTAAGTATAATTTCATTGGGGACTTCGATGGCTCAGGTGGCTAGCCACCTAAGCCATCGAAGTCCCCAAATCCCCGCGTTCGGCTTGCGATCGTTGAATGTAAGCAACTTTTGCAACGTTCGGTCATTGAATGGGTGATCAAAAACTTAATATCCCGAGCGCCTCGTGCTTTGCAAAGTCTAAGTCGTTGTCCCCGGCTACATCTGCAATCGTTAGCACCCACCAATCCGCACTGGGCCCGCGTGGTGGGTCACGGCCCAATTTCTCTATTCCATCCATAGGGAAGACCTGTTTCCCAGCAGTGGTGACATTAATAGGCTGATCATGATAATTTCATTTGATTTGAATTACCAAAGAAATCAGGTGCGAATGGCCCCAAGCAGTGCCGTCTTTGACCTATTGGAGGCCCTGGGCATATTAGGATAATGGGGCCCTTATGACTTCCGTTTGGTGATTTAACAGGAACTAGGGACTTTGTATTTGATCTGAGGGGGCCCCCTATTGATCGCGGGGCCCTGGGCACTTGCCCAAAGTGCCCACTGGGAAACATGGGTCTGGCCCCAAGTGTAGCTATTATTGTTAGGTATCAAACTGACGTTTGGTTTTTCCAGATATGGGAGCTGATGTGAACGCCCAGAACTCGGAGGGGAAGACACCTTTACACGAAGCGATACTCGGTGGGAACAAGGCGATCGTGGAGTACATGCTGAAGAACGGAGCTAACGTCCACTTGAAGACGAAGTAAGATTCATTATCGATTATTAATCAAAGCATTTAATTCGGTTAAGTGCAAGCAAAGAAACAATCGTGCCTAAAAAGCTGTTATGCCATCGGTTTTTAACTCAAAGGCGGCAACCCAACTTAAATTGGGAAGATCCGATGGAAAAAATCGACAATGGCTGCTTGTGACAAGCTTTTATCTAGCTATTAGCTCGCAGTCTGCGATTGTGATAGTTAAGCAACTCTTGCAATGGCCAGTCATCTAATGGGTCGTCGAAAATGTATTATATTGAGCTCCTCCGTACTTATTACGTTAAACCGTTGGTCCCGGCTGCATGTGTTCAGCCGTTAACACCCTGCCAATACCGGTTGTTCCCAGTCGTCACCACTGGCTTCGTTCCCACTGGAGACAAACGAGAAAAATACCATTTGATGCCAGTAGTGACAATAGTTATTTATTATACAAGAGTGGAAAGTTCCTTTTTAACCGCGTGCTCGATTTGGATGACCGAGCAAGCGAAGGATTCTAAAGTTGAATCACGAGCGCAGCGAGTGATTCTAAATTAGAATCCTGAGCGTCAGCGAGGGAAACAAACGAGCACAAGGTGAAAAATCTTTCCACTCGAGTGCAATACGTAACTTTTCATCCCACCTCAGCGAGGAAATGACAAAATGAAAAAGAAAACAATTTATAATGACAAAATATTTTTATTTCAATTAAAACACATTAAGATAATCTATAAATTGAAGAAAATAATAAGAAGTAGAAAATAATTAAGAAATATTAAATGTAACGTTGCTACAGTTACTTATGTTAAGTTTAATATTTTTGTTAGGTAATGTTATGTTGGTGTTTGTGAATTGTGCGCTGTTTTGTGGTAAACTACTCGTATCAGTAATTTTAAATAGTTGTGCCGATTCATTGGATTCTATTGGCGTAAATGTTGGCGAGAGAGGGCTATTGTTTCCAATCTTATGGGGGCTCATTTTAGATGTAGAAGGGCGAGACCAAGAATCTGACAGAGGTTCTTTCAGCGTTATGGCCTCCACGATACTATTACAAATTTTTGATTTACTTTGGATTGAATCCTCTATGTATCCCTCTACAACCGAATTAGACTTCCAGCCTCCATGGCGCTTAAGCGATAGAAGATCAGCCCCTGATTCGGCCAAAAGTGTGGCTGAGGTTCTTCTAAAACAGTGACCGGTGTATAACGGGGGTTCTAAAAGTCCGAGAAAAGTTGCTATTTCTCGTGGAATACTGCCAATTTTATTCTCACCCATAGGTTGTCGGATACACTTTCCGTTGCGATATTGTAGAAAAAATCGTTCAATTGGGGTGTTAGAAGGACGTAAAGCTTGATATTTCTGAACAATGTTTACATATTCCTTGCGAATAACGAAGTTGCGGTCTTTTTTTGTCTTGGTATTTAGTACATTAATTAATAGCAATTCATCAGAATTATGAGAATATTTTGATACGTTATTGACATTAAGTAGTGTAAGTTCATTTGTTCGACATGCTCCGGTTATACCAATAATAAGAACAACCTGTAACAAAAGAAGTATTTATAATCGTAAATAAATTAATCAAATTAAAAATATTGTAAGTACTATGTACAATTTTATCAACAACAAAAAATTACACGTATTGACTTACTTTTGCCGCTAAATATACGGAATCAGGTGCTTCATTAATAAACTTTGCAATTTCAGATGCTGTGAAAACCTTCGATTTTTTTGGTTTATAACCAGATGAGGCTCTTTTTAAAAATGCCACTAATTTATGATAGGTGTCGATATGAACGTCTTTCTTCATCTTAATTGTTAATTTTAGCATTGAATACGTACTCCATAGCGTGCTTGCTTTCTTGGTCTCAGATAATTCTATAAAATATGCCAGCAAAACGTTTTCGGAGAAAGTTTTTGCTCCTTTAGCTAGTCGCCACATGTTAAATATATCGTACTGTTTCAAATACTTCTCTCGTGATTGCTGAGGGAGAAGGCTCATTTGCGCATTATTAACTGTTTCAGTTAACTCAGTTGGCGTTAGATAAACTTCATCGTCGCTAATGCACGGACCTAAAAAAAAGACGGACGTAACCTCGTCTAATCACGAGTGAAGCATGCAAATGGCCGCCCGTTTACCGTGTGTGCGTGATTTGAGGGTGGTCATATAAGTCATCGATTTCCCTATTTATTAAATGTCTCAAACTAAAATATTGTTAACACTATGTAGGTAATTATCCCGTTATTGTAATAAATAAATATTACAATAACGGGATATTTACCAAGTTTTTATTAGATGTGAGCTCCCGATATTTCAGCAATTTAAACGGGTGCACTTTAGAAACATAATGTTGGCCTATCAAACATCATTTTTATGACGACCGTTAGAAAAATGAAAACACTTGCTAGGTATAAAGTAATTCATTATTTACATAAAAATTAAGTATCTGGTTAATATTACACATTAATATACCTAAATCGCGCAGATTAATGCTTAAAATAAAAATATAATACACTAATATTATTATTTCTTCTTTTAAATGTAAGTGTTTTATTCATAGATGTAGTAGGTATTTAAAGACTGACAGACTGAGGAAAAGAGATATGTCGACATGGGGACAGGAACTTCAGAAAACTGTCAAACCCTTGCTTCTGAAGCATTCGTGTTCTTAATACACGGTATCAATTAGCATTTTAAATTACCTCTGGGATATTTACTGGTAAGTGCAGAGCAGAAATTTAATTAAAGGAGATTGCTCAGCTTCCATACATGTTTGGCCTGAACACCAAGAATCATGAAAAATTGTTTCCTAGATTCGAAATTATATATAAATTACTGTAGAAACGAATATTATTGACGGACACCCCTGAGAACTTCTATAAACCATATACACTGAACATATTAAAATAATAAAAAACAAATAAGTTATATAGTAAACTAGTGAAATCAAGCCAAGTACCGAAATTATGGATTAGATTCAGGTATATGCATGTACATTAACAGATAGTTGCCTGTTTTTAAAGCTAATGCATAAGAGTAACTTTTAAAATCAGGTGTCATTTCCGGTTATAATAAAGTACTCTGTGACAGAAACTGTATGATGAATGTGAAGATTAGAGAGAATTTTTAGACTCTCGTTAACCAAAGAAAGCTAAGAGATTTAGGTTCTATAGCCATATATTCAGTAGCTTCATTATTTTTGTTATGTTTTTAAGATAACCATATTTTAGATTTTTAGTGTATATTACACCTTATAATTTTATTTATTTATTAATTTATAGTCAGGGACCGTAGGCCCATAGATAGATACCTTAAAGTCTAACATATATACAGAATATAATGTGTTTATGGAGGTGTTTGGCGAAAAATGTATGGCAATAGACTTTATGATGTCGCCTACCATCTATAATAATTGTCTGAGCACATTTGCATCTAGTGAAAATGATAATATAGTTGTGGATATTAATACCACAGTGTAATAAAAAAAATATTATTTTATTTTATTTATTATTTTATCGATCTTTACAAAATAGATTTGTTTTTATGTTATATAAATAACTTCGATCAGTCTTTGGCTGAATGTTAGTAGTAACACCCATAGCCATTAAAAATGATTCGTATGTTTTCCAAACCGGTAAAATTAAAAATACTTTTAAAGTAAATATATTATACAAAGGTTGAAATCTAATGACTGTAAATTAAATTATAAATTACGCCAAAAATTACAGTGTATGTCAATATTTTTTGTGCATTTAGGCCAATTTGGGCAATCTCCTTTATTTATGTCTTTTATAATGTTATGATGCAGGCTTAAAGTCGCATGCTTAACATTCGATATACAAAAACAGAACACAGTAATACAGGCCAAATAGGTCCCTGCCTCAGCTTAATACTACAGCAACACCAGGGCTGCTGCAGCGCTGATAATTCTGGCAGGGTTGACGAGACATTTTTAATTTAATAATAAAACAGAAGATTAGAACCATACCAATCAGCATGACAAAAAAAAATATAACAACATAGACTGAATGCTTTTAGTATCTTAAGCCTTAAAACAAGAGAAATGAATTTATTAAAAAATTAAATAAAAATGAAGTAAGATTTATCTATGACAAACTAGAACTTACAAAACCCAAAACTAAAACCAAACAATAAGAAAACACAAAGAAATAATTAGTTACAATCAGTTTCTAAACACAAAAAAGTTTGCTACATATTTACATATACATAAACAACAAAGAATTCACAGCGAGGACATACCATTTTATAAAACATATAAAATATTCTATGAATAATATGGCTTCTATTCTTTTCCTTTTGGGATAAGGAACCCTAAAAAGTTACGAAATCTGACCTTACCGAGTCACAAATGCAAGAAATACAAAATTCCCTACTTTTAGGGAAAAATCCCCGTAAATAAAGTAGCAATACAGTTGTATTTTTGTTTACAATTTTCATCCCAGTAAATAAAATATAATATGGAATAAATATCAAGAATTGTCAATACTTACGCATGGTAGGTAATTCCTTGTGACTTTTTAAATTTATTCGTGTAGTTTTTACAGGATTTCACCACACAAGATGGCATTTTAAATTATTTTTATCAGAGCAATTGAATGTGTGACTGCCGCTGTCACGCGGGGTCAAATGGCATCGTTTTGTCCGACCTGGTGCATTAGTGTGAGTGTAGTAGTGTACAACAAACGGTTTTGTCTGACCTTGCATGCTTCACATGATTTGCCTTTGATGTTACGTCCGTCTTTTTTTTAGGTCCGTGCGCTAATGTCACTCATTTTAGTTGATTTTTTTGTACAGTTTTTAGGTTATGTTAATTATATTAAGCAATAAAACGTGAAAAACTAGAATGGCGCGAAGCACGCAAATAAAACAAAGAAACCAAGAAGGTTCCAAATTTAAATTTTTTCACAATTTAAAAAGTTCTAATCATAAATTTGGCACCATAGAGGTTACATTAAATAGGTTTAATGACGTTTTGAATTTACAATTATAT